AAAAAAAAAAAAAAAAAAAAAAAAAAAAAAAAAAAAAAAAAAGGAGTGGGAGAGATTTCATGCTGATAGAAGTTTGGAACTCACCTTGGTTTTAGGTCACGGTGAATTATAACATTTGGCTCGTTGTGGAGATAAGTCATTCCCCTAGAATAGGAATTGTTATCAAACTAATTAGCACGACTAGTAAAGTCCAAAGGAGCAAATATTCGACTAGGTTAAACATTAGATGAATTACTTCGTCATGACCATGAATTTCTAGAATTTTAGTACAATGAGATTTTAGATACTATGATATATAGCCTACTCTAATCAAGGAGAAAAAGAGACCCAACATTCAGTAAATGTCTCAAACAACCAAATGGGCTTGTTCGCAAATAAATGGTACACGGCCCGGAAGTTTGTGAAAGTTTAGCGAATAGACTGTGCAGATATTCTTTCGATAAAATGAACAAATTTAAAGAAAGTCACTAAAAGATCTTATAGCATCATAGAAGCAGCATCTTTTTCCAGATAAAGCAATAGTGCAGGGAATTGCTTTCTATTTATTTCATCAGGTTTTTTTACTAGGCTGATACATTATACAAGAGATTCAAGCAATCCAACATGATCATTTGTCGAGTAAAATGCCCCCCTCATTATGCATAAAAATAAAAATAAAATAAATAAAACCAAAATCAGGCAGCTGAAAATTAAGCACCCTATGTAATTGCAACTTGCAAGCATTGAGAAACCTGCTACTGAAGCTTAGATCTCAATTTATGCAAAGTAACGTAAGAAGATCAGTTCTGGCAACGCAGAATCCAAGTAAAAGGAAAATAAATTAATCTTTGGATTTGTTCTTTTATTTCCAATAATCATCGAAGAAACTTATTTATTCTTGGGCAAAATATTCAAGGATTCATGTTCCTTTACATTAAAATAATCATGCATGAACGTTTTTAATAAAGGTACGATGAATTCTACCACAAATAAAATTGCAAGGTTTAAAAGGAAATAACGGTATTACATAGGGAGAATAATCTTCCATTTTTCTATGGGCAGTGAGGAGCCAAATTAGCGCAACATTCATTTATCTGGTAATGTCCATTGCAAAACTACTAAAATGTTCAGAATTTCTCTTTTATTACCAAAAATCTTCCGGGGCATCTTAATTCTTTTCTATAAAAGCTTTAAGGAATCAATTATTTTACCTGGCGATGTCCTGTGCAAAATTTATGGCCGTAGCAGGACTGAGGGAACCTTTGTCCTTGAGGTACTGGTGAAGATCGCCCTAAGAAACCAATGTCACCCAGCATGAGTAATTACAACTTAAAAATAACAAAACCTAAAAATTTTCAGTATGGGAATAAAAAGAAACTCTGTCATTTACCCCTCTTAAATATTCAGTGATTAACATAAGTGGTTTCTTCTCAGTGACAGCTCCAAGAAATTGGACAATGTTAGGGTGGCGTAGCTTCACCAACAGATTAACCTCATGTCGAAAGTCCTGACTGAATGAGAAAAACCAAAACAATTAACACCAATCCCATTAATTTAGTAAAAATTTAGATGGTTATTGTAATTATTAAAGAAAAAAGATTTACAGAAAAACTAATGGAGGAAAGTGATAGGAGGCTTTAGAAAGTAAATTTTAGTAAAAAAATGAGAGTTTTGAGGGGTTCTGGTGAATACTGGGACTGCTGGAATCAGATGTCAGGCTGCCGGTTCAAGGAAAGGCAACATGAAAAAAATATATATAAGAGAAAATTTTCCGTAAAGTTCACTGTTCTGTTGCACCTTAGGAATACATGCATGGTTTTAGAAGTCAACCACTTTTATAAATGATCGTTATTTTCTTATTTTATTTCCTTCAACGTGTTTTTTTATCAATTAGAAAAATAATGGGACATACAATCGCAACCAGACAAGGTTTTTATCAGATGGAACTAGAAAGATATTGGATCTTACATCACGAGTCTATCATCTGAAAGTGATGGAAGAATACGCTTGACAGCTACAGGGGTTCCACGCCAATAGGCCTTCAAAATTTCCCCGAAGGACCCCTGCAGAAGACAGGAATTATAAGTGAAAACTACTCTCTTAAATGAATTGATAATCATACTAACAAAGCATTCAAACCACAAAGCAAAAAGCTTAACATTAAATTATTTCAGCACTCATATTGACTAAAAGGCTCTCGGTTTGTATTGGCTAAAACTAATCAAGTATTTCAATCAATTAACACACTTCAGACCTGTACTTGCATTTCTTGACGCCGTAACTAGCAGAATAGATTTTGATTAAAAAAATTGGTAAACCAATGGACTCCAGTACAGGAACTGCAAGCAACTTCCGAGTTCAATCATCATATGGAAAGATTTATAGCAAAATCGTACTTGCAGGCAATTTCAAGAAGGATAATTTGTACCTTGCCAATAATAGCTGAGTTTGAAAAATCCAGTTCAGAAGGATCGACTTCCCAATCACATTTATTTGGCAGAGGAGGAAGAACAGGCTTCGGTTCAAAATGGCTTCCATTTTGACCCTGCAACATATATTTTCATGCTCAGACAGAAGTTATTAAGAAACAAAATCCTGAATGAAGAATATTCAGTTCTCTTGTTTCCCATCGAGAAGACAAAAGAACATTCACGGAGATGAAATATCTTAATCTTTCAATGCAGCCAGTTCAATAACATGCACAGTAAGATGATGATATAAGATAAAACATAGAAATGAAATAAAAGGACAGCAATAACACGGAAGACTCGTAGAAAATGCGAGGAACCATGAGATATAACTGAACATAGTATGAATTTAAATAAAGCATCTGATTTTCACAGTAATCAAGAAAATATAGGAAGTACGGAAGAGATGTTTGCTTGCGAAGAATAATTAATGTATAAAGAGACAATTATACTACCACGGCTAATCGGCACATGCATAGACACACAAATACAAAGAATCAAAAGGAAAGCTCTTCACTTACATAGGAAAGGCCACCATACGATTTTAATAACTCAATTATGTCATACTTTTTAGCTCCTTCTGCATCAGCTAGCGGCTGTCATAGACGATACAAGATCCTTGTAAATTCCACAAAAAAGTTTGGACATTGAAAAAAATGCTAGACTACATCGAACAGGATAATGGTGCTAGGTGATTTACACAGATGTTGACTCGGCACTCTAAACATTCACACAAAACAACGAAAGAATGGAGGAATAGAGTACACATAACTAGTAAATATGAGATCGAGCTTATTTTGAACGCACGATTTTTCTTACCAATAGAGTCAGGAAAACTACATTTTTATTTAGTGGCAAAATGTACAGAGCAGCTTAACTCCACTGAAAGAGAAAGAGCAACCTTGCGGCAATGTACCAATTGCAAAATAAAATCAATCCTTCATAGTTGACCAGACTTAAATCGCAAGCAGTGCAAGTAGCTCAGATTAACCGGATATGGAAAGGCATTCTAGGAGTAGTACGATCATAAAGCCCTTGAGCTGCAGTCATACAATTGTTTTCGATTAATAAATTTAGTCTCGTGCCCACACACATACAGAAGAGACAGGTATTTTTTAACTTGATTTGGAATTCTTTTCCGAGTTCTTTTGTCCGCATAAGATTTAAGCTGATGACCGCGATTGCCCACTAGCCTAGGCTAAAAAACACAGGACACGTGCTGAATTACCATATTGACATGAAACTCAAACGTGCCGCTATAATTACCGAGAAACACGAATCGAAATCTAATGCAGAACGAGCGAATGGAAAATGAAACGTAAAATCGTAATCGAGCCACCATATAAACACAGAAAATAGTTCCTATTAAGAATCATTTCCGTATAGAACAGGCAGATAAAACTTACTGTGTTCTTCCAGCGATCTTGGGCATTAACATCAGCACCGTGTTCAATCAAACACTTGGCAACGACGATCCAGCCATGAAGCGATGCAACATGGAGAGGAGTGCGGTTGTCATAATCTCTGGCATGGACAAGGGAGCGATCCTCCTCCAGGAGCTTGCGAACAGCAGCAGAATCATTTTGGTGAGCGTGCCACAGTATCTGTGACGTTCTACTCACTCTCGCTTTCTCCTTTTGCTTCTCCTTGCTCGTACCCGATACCGATGACGATGACGACGTCGACGACGACGAGTTTCCCTTGCCTCCGGAGCTCCCCGGCACCGGCAAACCGGCGGAAGTTCCAGAAGGTTTAAAGTTCATGACCAAATTTTCCGGATCTTCTGGATCGGATCGAAAGGGGAAGAGAAACAGAAACTCTTAACTTCCACTTCAATTGGATTGAATGTGACTCTGGATAATTTTGGCTTTGTGGAATTCAAATTGCTTAACTGTAATTTAAGATCATGCGAGTTCGTGGGGTCGAGTCAAGAAAGAACTGCCAAAATGTGAATAACTTGTCCTCGAATCTGAACAAAAGGATGAAAGGGAATGATTTTACCTTTTCATTCGTCGTTGATGTTTTGGAGATACCCGCTGTATTTCGTTTCCTTCCTCTCTTTTATTTCCCCATATAATAAAAAATTCCAAACTGAAATAGATTTAACTGCACACGTGCCTTATTCGTAAATTGTATTTATCTAATTTACACTTTTTTTATTAAGTTAAATACATTGAGTATATATTTTAATTAGTGTGATTTGTATTTATATTCTCTCTAAACTTTTACAATTATTAATTTTTTTTATTAGACATAAAATTTAATTGTATGGACCATGTATTTATTGATTTTTATAAAATTTTATCTAAAATAAATTTTATATAAAAATTTAGATGGTTTATAAAATCGTTATAATAAAATTGAATAGATAAGAACATATCTAACATGCAATGTTCTCGATTAAAATAGTCCATAATATATTAAGAAAGATATTAAGAAAGATAAAAATGTTAATAAATATGAGATTTTGTATCATCAATAAATAAAATATGTAAAGTATTATGCGATGTTACAAAACTTTTAGCACAAACATGTTTATACACTATTTAATAATAAATTATATCAAATTTAATACTGAATTAATTATTTAGAGATATATTATTAAATAACGATATAAATTGAAATCCAATTTATGAATCTACCATCAAATACATATTTAAAAAGTAAAATATACAAATAAATAAGTTATAGTGTATAGTGGGAGTTTAATTTGTAATCTTAGAAGCAGACACAATTCACTATTTTAAGTCAAGGGTTTAATTAGCCAAAATTAACATAATTTTCTTCAAATTTTGTGTACTAAAAAAATAATAATTCAGATTTACAACGATGTTATTTAAATTAAATGAGTAAATAGTATTATTTAAAATAAAATAGTTCCTGATATTATCATGCGAAGGACGATAATTACGATAACTAGAGCAAAGTACCTATAATATAAATGGTAAGAGATAAGACAATATTCAAAATTAATAGGTTTAGTTTGGTCATAATTCAATTTAACCACTCAGTAAATTAATGCAATTAAGAAAATCATATAAAAAATATCTGAATTATAATAAAAATGGCCGAAAATGCTGCTAGATTCCACGGCTTCAGAAGGAAAGAGTCCAACACGGAAGCCACACTAAGATCGTCCCACATCGAAAAAGTGTGAGAGGAGGAGAGGTTGGAAGCAGTATATAAAGCAAGGAACTACAACCGTTGCAACATACTTACCTGGACGGGGTCAATGGGTGATCAATAAGACTCATGGCCTAGGTTGGTGACCTCCATTGCACTTGGGAGGGGTGCCCGCCTAAGGTCTGCCCAAAGTGGCAGAGCCTACGTCATAATTTGTGGCAGTGGGGGCCTGCGTTCGCGCGGCCCCTTCCCAATGTGAAGTCCCAAGTAAATTTACATTTCTAACGCCTCTTACGTCTACAATCATAAGACCATTATTTTTCTTGTTTAAAACTGCAAATTATTAATCTATAATGTTACGATTAGTAATTTTCTTTAGGACGAAGTCAAAATTTACAGATCGCGCGCTTTTTTCCATGTGATCACTATTTGTTTAAGTTATCTGTCTCGCAATTCAAGGTGACTGTGATGATTAGTTCTCAGTTGAAAACACCATCCGAACTGATCAAGGTGACTGTGATTAGGGCAGCGAATCTTCGTCTTCACGAAATGATCTTTACCGCGTAATTTCGATTCCGTTCTTGCTGGCTTTTTTTTCAGATTCAGCTGGAGGGTTGAGATTCTATTCCCTTCTGAAACCATCTTTGTTGTCTTACCTCGTCAATATCTCAGCTCGGCCATCTTTTCTCCATTTTCATTTGCTGTTTTCACGACGAAAATGCATCTCTGCTCTTGGACCTGAAAATTCCTAAAAAATTGAACTCTGATAGTGAACTGTCACAGTCGATTACCTTTATCTTCTTCATCAATTTCGAGTTGTCGCTTTTCTGTGGTTCGGCGTTTCATTATTTAGCATACCGTTGGCGAGGCTTCAGATTTGAGTTGTGGAGCGATGTTTGTCTCTGCACTTCTAACGTCTGTGGGAATAAATTCTGCAATATGTTTTTCGTTTCTCGTGCTATATTCTATATTCAGGAAACAACCGGCTTACTATGGCATCTACATACCACGGTTGGTGGCTGAAGGAAAAACTAAACAGAGAAGTGATTTCAACCTAGAAAGATTAATACCCTCTGCCAATTGGATGAAAAAAGCTTGGATGCTTTCTGAAGAGGAGCTTTTGTCATCTTCAGGCCTGGATGCTGTAGTTTTTATGCGTATTGTAACTTTCAGGTAATTAAGAGTTTGCTCAGTCAATTAGTTCTCCCACTATGGCCCTTTTCAATTTTTGTATACTGCTTCGTTTGTTCGATATTTGGTTAGATCAGGCAATTCTGTTCATCCTTATTCTTCACTCTTTTGTGTTGTTTGAAAAATGTTGCAGCTTAAAAGTGCTTTTATTTGCTGGTGTCATTGGAATCTTTGTTCTCCTTCCAGTGAACTGCTCAGGAGATCAACTTACGAATGTTGACATTGTTAATATTTCAAATAACTCCCTGGACGTATTTACTATTTCCAATGTAAAGGATGGATCGCACTGGTATGTTCTAATCATAATTTTATATTCAATATCAAATGGATGCTTAAATAACATTACTTTTGTAAGTGTAGATTAATTTTCAGAGTAGATATTGAAATGGTCTTATACTCAAATGGTTTCAGCTAATAGAAACAATCATCATATATATATATATACATACATACGTACATATATATTTGTTCTCCTCGAGAAAGTTTTGATTTCATTTAAAAGGGTTAATGAGAGTACTAATGTTAGGATGAAAGGATTGTCGGCTTTCTTTTTTGATGTTATTCATCATTTTAATGCACGGAATCCTTAATTTAGTAAGGTTTGAATACGTGGTCTATCTAAGGTCTTGTGCCTTACCCCAGAATTCTCAACTGAGACGACTTAGCAGCATTTTTTTTGTATTTATTAGATGGAGTTTCTCAAAGTCGTAATTTTTTTCCTGAAAAAATAGCATGAAGAATTTTGTCTATATTTCCTGAAATATTGATATTTTGTTGATAAATCTGTTGATATATTCATTAAATGTCTTCTCATTAAATTTCTTCTCGACATAATTGTTGATATTCTATTTTGATCACCAAGTCAAATACTTAAACTTATCATGAGTTTTCTTTCCATATTCGTGCTGACTTAATCTTAACTCATCATGTTACATAAAATGTCGAGGGTCTTATCTAGGAAAGAGTAGCTTGCTTTATAGACGAAGAAAATTGTATTGGATGTTCTGATTTCATTTCTAAGATTTACACATTTTTTAGAGATCAAGGAAATTCACATTCTTCCTGATCATTACGACTTCTACTTTTCTATTTTTTAGGCAAATACCACAAAACTAATTCAGTTTCTTCTAGTTGGCAGGTTATGGTTTCACTTTTCAGCTGTGTATCTCATCACTGCATACATCTGCTCTCTACTTTACTATGTAGGTGACTAACGATAAAAGATATGTGCTTCTTTTCATATATGCATCAGTGATATTTATTTAATGTTTCTGCAGCCACTTGACCAGCATTCTGTCCTCAGATGCTATGCTGGTGAAAAGCATGAGTATCAATAATATCTGCATTCTGCAATAAAAAATGATAAACATAGTTGTATTTTGGAAGGAGTGACCCGTCTTTGAAAATAAGCCTATTATCTTTAGCTTTTTAAGTGAGTGCTTGAGTATGATAGTTCAGAGGATATAGTTTCGCACCTAGCCAATCTGTACGAACTTTTGGCGTCTCTCTAAACTTATTGTAGATTGAGGCAATTTATACGGTTAATTAATAAAGTTGATTAATCTTGAGGTTTAAATCTGCAGGAGTACGACTATATTTCTTCTAAAAGGATTGACTATTTTTGTTCATCCAAGCCTTTGTTTCATCAGTTTACCATCTTAGTTCGTGCAATTCCTGCTTCTGCTGGGAGAAACATCAGTGATAGTGTTGAGAATTTCTTCACTGAGTATCACCCCTCAACTTATCTGGCTCATACAGTTGTCCATCGGACAAGCAAACTTCGAGGTCTCATTGTAAGCTTCAGACTAATGTTTCAGCTCCTCTCTTCTTTTCTCACATGAAGAAAGAAACTTGTATCAAGAAAACTAGGTTCATTTCCTTGTCTAGTTGGAGTTGCATATGAAAGCTGGCTGTTAGTGTACTTAATATGCTATTTTAGTTACGTTGTGTTTTTTCTCTTCGTTCCACAGAATGATGCAAAGACACATTACAGAAGGCTCGTCCGCTTACAATCGAATCCCTCGCAAATAAATTCTAACCGTGGCAGTTGTTTTGGATTGTTCAGAAGGAAGGTTGATCTCGTTGATCGATATGGAAAAAGGTTAGGAGACATAGAACAGCATCTGAGATTGGAACAATCGCAGGTTTCATCGGCTGGAAAAGTATGCACGTCCTTATTGAATTATTTTTCTTCTTTGCGATGCATTTTTAATCTTTCCCTGAATTTTGAGTTAAAAAATAGTACTGTATAATAAGTTGGACGATATTGCAAAATATATGAGAACGACAGCAGGTCAGATTTGGGAAATTGAGTATAGTTATGCACCATCTAATTGAAGGTGTTAACAAAAAGGCTAAATGTATGTCTTAGTCCATGACGATCAAGCATTTTTTCAACATCGTTCATGTCACTTATCGTTTAATTTTTTAAAATTATACTTTATTGCTGGTGCATGTTAAAAATTGGTAATGGTTAATTTCCATTACATGATATCTAGTGAGTTGGTAGAAATTTCAATTTTTCTCATCTTAAATAACTTAATTCCTCCTTAATTTTCGAATTCAAAGTCACATAGTACCATGCTAGGTAAGTCTATTATCAACCAAGTCTACCTTAAAACATTCCAACAGCAAGATAGCTTCCACAACATGGAAATTCACAGCCATGTTTACTGGCCTTGATGCAGTGAATTTATTTGTGAAATGGAACTTATCTTGCGACTAAATGGAATATCACTGTTCCACACTGAAATGGTAATATTCCCCTGCCCATGAAAATTGTGATGAGTATATCCAATTTTGTGAGACCGAGAATCTGGCTGTGAATGATAATAACAATGGTTGATCCCGTAATCTTTTAAAATCAAGTCATTAGGGTTTTCAAGCATCAACCCCTTCGTTTATTTTTGAGTAGGTAATTGATAAGAGTTGCCCATTTTGAAAAATATGTGGGATAATTTCTATGATACCCAGTTAGAACATCAATAAATAATTGCTATTGTTAATTTTATTCGTTTGGAATTTATCAAGACTAAATTGGATTGTTCCATTAAACCGTGTCAGCAGTTTTTATTTATTTGTTTATCTTTAGAATTGTGATTTACTTCTAATCTGGTTGTGATTGAGGTGGAGAGTGTGGCATGTCTTGCTATGCCAGTGTTCTCGGATTTGAGATTGTTAACAAACTTGTAGAGTTAATATGAGAGGCATCTCCTGGTCACGCTGCTTGGTAATTGTATCAAACTAATTAACATTTTTTCTTAATTGTAAAAGGAAGTTCCAGCTGCTTTTGTATCCTTCAAGTCACGTTATGGTGCTGCAATCGCTATGCATATGCAACAATCGAACAATCCCATTCATTGGGTGACAGAACAAGCTCCTGAGCCTCATGATGTATACTGGCCTTTTTTTTCTTCAACATTTATGCAAAGATGGATATCTAAGCTGGGAGTTGCGGTTGCATGTTTCCTTCTTACCGCACTATTTTTTATACCAGTTCTCATTGTGCAAGGACTGACTAACCTTAATCAGTTACAAATTTGGTTTCCGTTTCTTAAAAGCATTCTTACCATGTAAGTGATCACTCTTCACGTAGCTCTTGTTAGAAGTAGCATTTCTTTTCTTTTTTGAAGCTGTGTCAATAATTGAAGTGAGAAGTCTTTTAAAGACAATTTGTATATGATACCTATATAGATTCGTCATAGAAAGCATGAGTGATTAATTCACATAAAATGTTTTGTTTCAAAAACTTGGATGCTGGAGTTTCACAGAAAGCATACAAAAGCCAACTAAAAGCCCTGTATATTTATTCTTTGAGAGAACTATTCGCTGTTTTATAGTGATCGTTGAACAGTTGATGATCATTTTTTTTATTTGACGACAATCAATAAATGCTAAATGTTTCATGCATATGATTTATTTTCTCCTGCTGGATTATCTGATGTTCTGATGGTCTTACCTCTAATTATGTTGCAGAACATTCATTAGTCAAATATTAACAGGATATCTTCCTAGCCTTATCCTTCAATTGTTCCTGAAGATGGTGCCCCCTGTTATGGAATGTCTCTCATCCATTCAAGGATACATTTCTTTAAGTGACATAAAAAAGAGTGCATGTTTCAAAGTATTGTGGTTCACTATATGGAATGTGTTCTTTGCTACTGTCTTCTCGGGAACAGCTCTGCTTCAACTTTCATTGGTCTTTGAGCCAAAGACTATTCCTACGAGGCTTGCTGTGGCAGTACCTGCACAGGTGAAGCCTTGTGTCCCTATGAAAACTTTCTTTGAAGCTTTTACAAATAACGGATTTGAACCAGTTTGTAGTCTTGGCACATTTGTATATCTTTTCAAGCCTCTACTTGTATGATTCAATGAAATTTAATGTCAGTGTCTTTGTTATCACATTTGTGTTTATGTCTAAAATGGTTAGGCAAGGTTGTTAAACTCGTAAGCTGTATGAACTTTATTGAACAAGTCCAACCAATTTAAAACTTAGTTTCAATCATAAGTTGGTAAATCTCACACTTCTATTTGTTGATCGCATCAATTGGACAAAGTTCTTATCACAGTAAAATTTATTAGGTCAGAGACATGAATTTGTGATTCAAAATTGTGGGGGAATAAAACATGGACTTTTCCCCGTTTTTTTTACTGAATTGGTAAATCTCACACTTATAGTTGAAGTGGTCGTTTGTCAATGATGATTATTGTTTTTTTTGTGCAACCAAGCTGTTTATTCTTTTAACTTTTTAGAATTGTACATGATTTTACCATGAAGTACCTTAAGTTGGTTGAAGATCAGGATTGGATTTTATGATGCATTTGCGTATTTTGATATGTTTCTTGTCATCCTCATGGCTTTCTTGAGTTTACCATAAATCAATACTTAATTGTCACGACAGACAGCTCTAGTTTTAGTATTTCTTATCTTCTTAGGAAAGTGAGTCAATATTAGCAATATTAACCCCATGTTTTGCTCATGGTTCCTATGTACATGTTTTGTCACCAAATTTAGTTGCACTAAGTGAATTTTATGAGGATATATCGACTTTTCTCCTTGCTGAAAATGTCTGCTGCCGTAAGTATTACTGATTTGGTAGAAAACCAATGACAAGAAAACATAGTTGTTCCTTGCATCCTTGGCTAGGCTTCATAAACAGCATACTTCAGGTAGTGAATTTCTAGAGTCGTTAATTGACTACATGGGTTCATACAACCTTAGTCGGGCGTATTGTCCTGTGTCTGACACAAAATTCTCTGAAGCCTGTGAATCTGGAGGAGATTCTATGAGTTCCTTAATTTATCCAAAGTTGAATGAAGGATTAATTTGGGCACACTATAGTATCTATAGAACTCGATACTTTATACGATCATGTGGAAATTTTTTTATACCTCTCACTCTTCATCTTGATTGCAGGCTTCATTTTTCATTGCTTATGTTGTCACATCGGGATGGACAAGCTCACTATCTGAACTCATCAACCTATTCGCTCTTATTAGCAGTCTTGTAACAAAACCTTTCAGTGGAAACTCGGATGAGGAATTAGAAGTTCCATCCATTCCTTACCACCAGGACATACCGAGAATTCTTTTCTTTGTACTTCTTGGTATCACATATTTCTTCCTAGCTCCACTTATTGTGCCCTTCCTTCTTGTCTACTTCGGTCTGGAATACATAGTCTACCGCAACCAGGTTTGTTACCTTTTTCTCCCTCTCTCCCCTCACCATGAAGTTAAAAACCCATGATGCATGTCGTAAGATACAGTGACAAATCAAGTGATGTATTTATTTAAATTTTATACTGAATTCACTACTTGATGTATTCTGATCTTGCCTCGTAGATTTTTGCTATCATCCTGTGAAATATTGTGAATTTTAATCAGATGGTTGTTTGGTTTGAGTTTTATCGTTTAACCACTTGGGTTAAATCTGTATTTCAGCCTATATAAGTGGCTGCTTCACCTTAATAAAGCATCATTTTGATATTTAGTCTAAAAGAGTCTCCCTTGTCTACACCATCTCCATAAAGTAAAAAGAAAAATGCAACATAAATTTAAAATATTTGTATGCCAAATTTTTTAAAATAGAATTTTTCGTTTGAGTTTCAATTTTAAGCAAAAATTTCAAAATGTTCTATGAGTGTTTTAGCTGTATTATTGATTTGTTGTTACCATGCTTTCTCTTATGCTGAAACTGGGAGTTATCGCATGCATGTCAATAATGCGTTTTTGCTTTATGTATAACGTGCAGTTTATAAATGTGTATGCACCAAAGTATGAAACTGGCGGGAAGTTCTGGCCTATTGCGCACAGTTGCATTGTATTTTCTTTAGTACTCATGCATGCTATAGCTGTGGGAATATTCACACTGAAGGGGCTCCCTCTCGCATCAAGTTTATTGGTTCCACTCCCTATTTTAACACTTCTTTTCAATGACTACTGTCGGAAACGGTTCCTACCCAATTTTTCTGCTTATTCTGCGGAAGTAAGTTTATTTGCTGCAAGCCTGCAATATTATTCTTCAACTTCGTCTAACACTGATCTTGACACCACATGTTTTCAGACTTTGATAAAGAAGGATAGAGCAGATGAAAATGATCCTACAATGGCTGAATTTCTAGATAAATTGGTCACTGCATATGCCGACCCGGCTTTAATGCCTGTTAGCTTCACTGCAACTGCCGACAGTCTTAGGCGCCCGCTGATGTCTACTGCTGAAGATTAAAGATTATTGATGGATCTTTAGTAACTGGTGGTGCTGTACATTACAACATGCATATGTGATCAGGTTAGGCAAACTTGCCTGCTCTTTCGTTGATAAAGAGTGTCGTTTAATTTTCAGGACCATTTATGTTTTCAAGTTTTTGTAACATAATACCAATAGAAAGATCGAATAAAAAGCCTATATATTATAGGCTGGGTGAGGGTGTTAAGCATAAAGTAGAGCTGTATATTGGAAAGAAATTGTCTTTCATTCCGAGTCCTGTGAACGCTGAGGTGTGGCTCTTTTCTATAGAACTTTATTATTGATTAGAGAAAATGAGGTTCTCCGTCCTTCAGTTTTCAAAATATTTGAATCCACGAGCCAATTCCATCTTCTTGGCTCCGAGTTTCCATGATCCGTCAATATACTACACAAAAATCATCGAATTCTCAACTTATAGTCCAATGTTTGAATATTAGAATAGGCATTTAAATTATTCATCGGGATACTGTTTTCCATGTGCAGTAATTGGAAGTCCAAACGAACAGTTGTATTAGAATAGTATTGCTGACTAGTGCAGTACTGAAGCATCCCCTATAGATCTGTAATTAACTAATAAGAGCAGGACAACGTGAAGGAAGCAAAGTCTTAAATTTGCATAGTTTGTTCTTATCTGCTAACGGATATTGTCCGTTTTGGTTAATTACATATTGCTGTCAGTCTCACGGTTTTTAAAACGTGTCTGCTAGGAAGAGGTTTCCACATCCTTGTAAACAATGTTTTTTTTCCCTCTCTAACCGACGTGGGATCTTACAATCCATTTTTTTAGGGGTCCAGCGTTCTCACTGTCACACCGCCCGGTGTTTGGCATTCCTTATAAGAGTGTAATCTTCTACTTAGCAGATACGTTTTAAATCCGTGAAACTACCCAACTATTTCTGAATTCACTTCTGAATTCACGGAAGGAAAACGAAGTTACAGAAAGTAAAATAGATGCACAAGCTGAAGTCACTCATCAGGGTCACTTTGATACGACTGTCCACAAATCATTATTTTTTTCCCCTTTTCATAGGTCTAAAACATCATTATTGCTAACTCCACTACTAATGAATTTTACTTTTGTCTTCTTTTGACCCAGGAAGTACTAATTAACTGTACTGCCCTTAGATTAGATTATAATTGTATGGCCTTTCTACCATATATGTATAACTTTTGCTTGAAAGTTTTCCCACTTCCTTATTGTCTTGTAGCTATGAATTTGACTTCGACTCAGGTTCACTTCTACACATTCAAAATCCATCAAGAAAAAGGTACGGAAGAAAGTCTCTCTCTCTCCCCCCTTGTGGGAGTTTCTACATTCATCAAATCTATTGCCCCACCTCATTTCAACGTGTGAAATCAAGCCTCTGATCTTTTCTTCATTGCCCAATCCATTGGCTACTTATTGTTCAGTAAAGATGACTTCTTCAAGAGGAAAGAAAAGAGCAATCATTTGAAAGACACATACCTCCTTGACAACTTAGTTTTCTCCTCTCCCAATGCGATCAAAACAAACCAGGGCTCCATCCAACTAGTAAATTGAGTGTAGTTGAAAGTATTCGTAATGAGAAAGATGTCTTCGATTCCCTGTAAATGATACATAAGTTTGAGCTGAACCTTATGATTGTGACCAGCAGCACCACCAAATTGGCATTATGCCGCCCACCCACTGTGTATTATTGGTGCGAGTATCTTCTAACTGGCACTTCTTAGATTCTCATTGATTGGTGAAACCCAAATAATTCATCATAATTTCCCGAAGATTTCTTCTTTTGGCTTTAATTTTCGTGTTCAAGCAAAGATTACGAGAATCAGTCCCAAGTGATTGCAACCCCATTAGTGTTACCTCTCAAAAGGAGAGGTTAAAAAGGATAATGTGTCTGCTTCCTTCACTACCCACCGGTCTACCAAGTGATTACCTCTTGCTAGGATCTCATTCATCCCACTGAACCAACTTTGGTCTTTTCATTGCACACAACTATTATTAAAATAAAGAAGATACCACTACTTTCCACTTGAGGTTATCAATGCCTACAGGGGTAAGTAATTTAGTTCTGGCAAGGCAACAATTATAGGTAGCTTTTCTTATGTGTTCTTAAAGTGATTGTTACCACCAGAAAGAAGAACTTAATATGCAAAATTTCTACTGACTTGATTGACTTAGACTAGTAATGACTTTTATTGTCAGGTCGAGCAAAGCCTAAAATGTTGGCCGATCCGACAGAAAGCCAAAAAAATTGGCGACTGCGGTGATATATTAATGGTGAAAATGGAAAACAGTCGACATTAGTGGTTGTGATGAGTTGAAATACTGTATGGAAAAACCAGAGAAGAAAAGGCAAGAGGAGAGTCACCTTTCTCAAGTGCTGAATACCCCATTTAATATTTATCCTCCATTCACTCCACCAATCATGTAAACCAGGAAAATGTAGGAAAAGAGCACAAAAAGGTGGTTTTTGCAGATGCCTTATACTATTTTTTTTTAATTCTAATTTCTCTCTCTTTTTTTTTTTTTTTGGTACAAATTAGAGCGAAAGATTTGAACCCCACTCATCGAACTTTTTCGATTAAACTGTTGTTATCATTGTCAAACGCCCCTTATCGTGCCTTTTTAGTACTTAAAAAACTGAAATAACGTGCCCGACACCTTGTGGTGTGAGTTTCTATACTATTTATCTGTGGAGTAAAGCATGAATGATATCTCTATCAACACAATTTCTACTTGTCTAGTTTGTTCATTTTTTTCTCAGATGTTTGGTATTTGGATAGGGAGATGTCATTTGTCGTAAGGACTGTTTGGTGGATTGGATGATAATCCAAATAAGAATTTATGATTAGAAATTTTGAAGCAAATTGAATGTCAAAATCAGGTACCAAACAGTCTTGTCTTTTCCATTGTTTACACATATTCTGTTGCTTTTCACTTCCTACCTACTTGTTTTCCACTGTTTCACACTGCTACAGACGGAGCCCAGGAAACTGTCAACTTATTAATTGTTCATTTTCATTAACTACTGTCTTTCCAGCTTTACATTCAAAGCCCTTTCAACAATACCATTTCAAATTTCTTGTAATTCTTGGTTTGGTTTAGCTATGTGGTTTGCAGATCTTCAAATGGAATCAATATTTTTTTTTTCGAGTTCATCAATTGCAGGATGGAAGATCGAAAATCTAAACCGAGTAGACAATTGTTGTATCAAGAGGCAATCTATACAAATTTTGAATAAATCCTAGTAGAAATCACAAAGGTTGATTTTGTTTCTATAATAATTCGTTCAAATAGAATTTTGTTTGCTTAATGAACAAAATGAAAATTTAGACAAAAATTAATCAGAGTCTATAATAGTGGGTCATATCTGCTCTTTAAGTTGCAATTAAAGAACATTTCATTAAAAGAGCGTGGAGATCGAAGAAATACGAACTCTTGTTCAACGCATAAATAATTGACATCAACAATGGATAAAAATAAAGATCAAATCAGTTGTTTTTGCAATCAAATTTAAAGTCGAATCTATTATACTAAAATTCAGTATTTTTTTTTAGTACAATAAGAAGAATTACGAAGATTTGAACCCCGAACTTGAAAAAATACACATTAACTATCACTTAGTTAGGTTTACTTTGTGATACTTGGAGGATTAAAAAGGAACTTTCTTCATGAGCACTAAATCTGATTTAGTTGGAGAGGAGATTCTAGGTCTGGTCTACAATGGCTACAGTGGCTAATAAGTAGAGAGATAGAGATACCGGTAAATCCCATATGTCCAGCTTTACAACCAGACATACCCCACTTCCACCTTTTCCATTCCAGATATTATACAAAACGGCATAAAACCTCCACCATGCCCAGACATATTGAACCTTAAGAACCCAAAACCTTCTCTTTCTCTCTCTCTTTTTCCCTCTCTTTCTCTCTGCGGCAGCTGGCTACTACAGTCCCAGAAGGGACTGAGATACCTTGCAGTGGATATAAAGAAACAAGAAACACACAACCCATTTCTCACTCACTGTTGTATTTCACCACTGCACTTTCTCTCATGCTCATCAAACCATTTCTCTCTTAAATCGAATCATGGAAGACTCAGACGAGCCCAACGCTACCAGCAAATGTAACAACAAAACTGGGAGTTTCAAAGCCAGTATCAACCTTCATCCTCCTCCTCCTCCTCCTCCTCCTCCTCCTCATCATCATCATCATCATCATCATGTTCATCGCCATTATCAGCATCACCAGCTATGGCAGTACTCAAATCAGTACGCCTTTCGTAACCAAAACCAGTTCCAAAGATGCTATCCTGTTATTCTACCTCTTCCCCTTCCTCTTCCTCCTCCTATTCCTCTGCAACTCGCTCTAGCTCCTGCTCTTCCTCCAAATAGAACCACCGCTAGACCAAAAGCCCACTTGCAGAAGGCTTCCTGTAGGGTCAATAAACCTCCTCTTGCTGTCACCTCTGATACCCATGTCCCTATATTAAAGATTTCTCCAGGTAAAGCTATGTGAAAGCCCTTGTTCATTTTTTTTTTCTTTTTCTTCTTCTTCTCTCTCTCTCTCTCTCTTTTATCTGTTTTCTTTGATTAGGGATTTTTTGACCTCTGCATTTCCAGTGTCTTAAGTGGGTGGATTGTAATCATTCTGGCATTTTTTTTTGGCTCTTTGAACACGTGCATTCATTCAGCTCCAAAAGGGCTACTACGACTGAAAAGCAGTTTGCCACTTAAAGGAGATAATGGAAAGGTGAGTGAAAGTAAACCAGAGGTATTAGTGGCTGCAAGAAGACCAGATTCTGGAGGTATAGAAGGGCCAGTTATTCCTCTTTTGGCTAACCATTTCCTACTTCAATTTGACCCTTCACAACGTATTTACCATTACAATGTAGAAATCTCTCCCAACCCTTCAAAAGAAGTTGCCAGATTGATCAAACAAAAACTTGTAGAGGACAACTCGGATTTGCTCTCTGGGGCCTCTCCTGCTTATGATGGCCGCAAGAATCTTTACAGCCCAATTGAGTTTGTAAGAGACAGGCTTGAGTTCTATGTCAGCCTTCCACTTCCCTCCAGCAGGATGAAAGTAACCCAAGGAGAGATCGAACATAAGCAAGCATTCAAACTCTTCCGAATAAGTATTAAACTTGTCTCAAAAATTGATGGGATGGAACTGAATAGATACTTGTCAAAAGAGGGAGATGATTGGATTCCAATTCCTCAGGATTATCTTCATGCTTTAGATGTTGTATTGAGGGAGGGCCCAAATGAGAAATGCATCTCTGTGGGAAGATCTCTGTATTCAAGTTCAATGTGGGGGAGCAAAGAAATTGGGGGAGGAGTTGTTGGCTTGAGAGGCTTTTTCCAAAGCCTTAGACCCACACAGCAAGGCTTGGCTATGAACATAGATTGTTCTGTCACTACTTTCCACGAGAGCATTGGAGTGATTCCCTACTTGCAAAAACGTCTTGATTTTCTCAGAGACCTTTCTCAGAGGAAGACAAGGGGTTTGACCAGTGAAGAAAGGAGAGAAGTGGAGAAGGCTTTGATGCATATTAGAGTTTTTGTTTGTCACAGAGAGAGTGTTCAGAAATACAAAGTTTATGGCTTAACAGATGAACCTACTGAGAGTCTCTGGTTTGCAGACAGAAATGGGAAGAATCTAAGATTGGTGGGTTACTTCAAGGATCATTATAACTATGACATTCAATTCAGGAATTTTCCTTGCTTGCAGATTAGTAGGAGTAAGCCATGTTATCTTCCTATGGAGCTTTGTATGATTTGTGAAGGGCAGAAATTCCTTGGAAAGCTCACTGATGAACAGACTGCAAGAATGCTTCAGATGGGTTGCCAGAGGCCAAAGGAAAGGAAAGCTAATATAGATGGTGTCATGCAAGGTTCTTTTATGCCAACCAGGTAAATTTGAAACTTTATTCTCAATTTGCTTGAGAGCTCTAATTCACTTTCTAATACCATTTGTCTGCTTTGGCTGGCAGCGGGGTCCAGGGAAGAGAATTCAGCCTCCAAGTCTCGAGGGAAATGACCAAATTAAGTGGGAGAGTTCTTCAACCTCCCAAGCTAAAGCTTGGTGACGGCGGCCAGGTTCGAGATCTTATTCCCTCCCGCCACGACCGCCAGTGGAACCTTGTCGATTGCCATGTTTTCGAGGGAACAAGAATCGAGAGGTGGGCATTGATAAGCTTCGGCGGTAGCTTAGATCAGAGATCTAACATTCCAAGATTCATAAACCAGCTCTCAAGAAGGTGTGACCAATTAGGCATATTTCTCAACAGCAAAACAGTCGTACCACCTCAATTTGAACCAACTCAAGTACTCAACAGTGTCACGCTGTTGGAATCAAAGCTTAAGAAGCTTATTGGAGCTGCATCTAACAGCCTTCAGCTCTTGATCTGTGTGATGGATCGGAAGCATAAAGGCTATGCAGATTTGAAACGCATCGCCGAGACGAGTATCGGCATCGTTAGTCAATGCTGCCTCTATCCAAATCTTGCCAAGCTAGGCTCCCAATTTCTGGCCAATTTGGCTCTTAAGATCAATGCAAAGGTTGGTGGTTGCACTGTTGCATTATACAACTCGTTACCTTCCCAAGTACCACGGCTACTTCGTATCAATAAGCCCGTGATCTTCATGGGCGCAGATGTAACTCATCCTCATCCCTTGGATGATTTTAGCCCCTCCATAGCTGCTGTGGTTGGTAGCATGAATTGGCCAGCAGCAAACAAGTACGTCTCTAGAATGAGATCACAAACACACAGGCAAGAAATTATTATGGATCTCGGAGCAATGGTCGAAGAGCTGCTCGAGGAATTTTATCAAGAAGTGAATGAACTACCATCACGAATTATATTCTTCAGAGATGGCGTGAGCGAAACCCAGTTCTTCAAAGTGCTTCAAGAGGAATTGCAGGCTATAAAAACAGCTTGTTCACGATTCCACAACTATAAACCTCCTATAACTTTTGCTGTTGTTCAAAAGAGGCATCACACAAGATTATTCCCATTCAAAGTCGATCCATCTTCAAACCAAACTGAGGTTCTTGATGAAAACATTCCTCCCGGGACGGTTGTTGATACTGTAATTACTCACCCAAAGGAATTCGATTTCTATCTCTGCAGTCACTGGGGGGTGAAGGGAACAAGCAGGCCTACGCATTATCATGTCTTGTGTGATGAAAACCAGTTTACTTCTGATGAACTTCAAAAGCTGGTTTACAACTTATGCTACACATATAATAGGTGCACGAAGCCTGTTTCACTAGTACCTCCAGCTTATTATGCTCATCTTGCTGCTTATAGAGGCAGACTTTACCTCGATCGATCCGATTCGACAGCCAATACGGTCTCTCGAGCTGCCCCTCCGAAAACAATGGCTCTACCAAAACTTAGCGAAAATGTTAGGAAACTAATGTTTTACTGTTGAATTTTGTTGTAGTCTCCATCACGATGCAATCAATATATATTTTGATGCCATTGAACAAACTGCATCCAGTTCTTCCCTTACACACGAGTAAGATGAAGTGAATGCCTGTGTTCCCTGGTAAATGGTAACACATCTGAATCTTACAGCTAGTTAAGCCATATCACCTATACACTATGAAATGATTCAACAAGTGAAGCTTCTTGCAGAATGGTGGTGAAGATAGACTCATTTAATATAAGATGAAAGTGAAACAGTAAATTTCCATCTGAACCCACCAACCACATCTGCATTATTTTCTTGTTGATACTGCAAAAGATGCAGAGGCTAGGCCATAGAATAATTCATAGATATTTCTGATGAACAGTAACATATTTTTCGTTATACTTAATCCTATGAAACTGTTAATTCACAGTGATGAACAGTAACATACAACTAGTTCATATGATTACACAAAATAATTATTCTATTATTATGCGTCTAAAGTAAAAGTAGTTGATCAGGTGTAAAAGGAAAAGAAAATGATGAGAGAAAAATTACAAAAAGAAAAAGAACTTTATAGAGGAACATATCATATTTTATCAAAGCAATAGAAAAGTGAAAGACAAAGTGTTGGTGTTGCAAATTCAGAAGCTCCCCCAGCCTTGGATTTAAGAAAAAGAAAAAAAAGGAGAAGGCAAGCCAATTACCGCATCCAAATTGTCCAAACTGACCCCAGAAATGCACCACTCATACTGACATAAGTGCAGAAAGAGATCCCACAAGCCACAGCAAAAAAAACAGAGAAGAAAACAGAGAAGGGCAGTTTGGGGAAAAGAGAGGCAAAAATTGGCAGACAGTACGGACTCATGCAATGCAATGCCCATTAGGAATCATAAAGAAGAAGAAAGGCAGAGTAAATAGACTTTTTGAGTTCCCATTTTGTCTGCACTGGAAAATAATTAAATAATTAAATAATTAAATAATTATAATTAAATAATTAAATAAGAGCCCACACCTTTTCTTTTATTTTTTATTTTTATTTTCTTATGGCAGTGTGAGATATAAAATATAAAATTTAATATTTAATGAATCAACTAATTTTTTAAAATAAAATTTGAAAGTACATTTATTAAAATAAAGTGAAACACGTGAAAACTAAAACTAAAAATTATATTATGATATCATAACAGAGGTGGAGATCTAACTTTTTTTTTTTCAGATTGAAAAGAAAATCTCAAGAATTGAACTGTGTTCGTTGGCTTCCCTCTTAAAATTTGAACTCGAATATAAAAAGAAACAGAAATCGGCACGAGATCTATGGTGATAATCTCGAGAGAACAAAAAAAGAAAAGTTGTTATTAGATCGAAATTGTAGGTTAGAAGAAGATCGAGTTGACCATGGAATTAGTGTAGTATGGTTGTAGGTTTAATAGGCATGGTTCTTGAAATTCGTGGAAAAGAAGACTAGGTTATCTTCTCAGGGGAAGTTAAATGAAATCGGATACGAAAATCAAAATCAAAATCAGAATCAGAATCGAAAATCGAGGCGAAATTGGAAGAAGAAGGGGAAAAAAAAAGTGAAATACGAAACAAGATTGGGTAGTGTCGGTGATGGAACCTTATTCTGGAGGAGGATGCAGAAGATGCATCAGCTGGCTCAGTCCCCAAGAATCCGCATCTACATAGCGCCAATGGCGACCAGCTATCTATCTGTTTGTGGCGTAACGTAGCGTCGGTTTTCAAGGAACCGAAGGAAGGGCCCCCTTCCCTCATTCAGACTGACTGCTTCTTTCGTCCTTTTCCACCGCCTGCCCTTCATTCCATCGGACGCATCTCTCTATCTCTCTCTCTCTCTTCTTATCTAACGGTCTCCATTGCGTTTCCTAATCTCACAGTTCAGTTCGTCCCCAGAATTCGCATCTCCTTCCAGTTTCGTTTCATCTCCTTCTTTGGGATTTACATTCACGCGCTCATCTACGTTTTCTCCTCTCTTCTGTCTGTTGCAGAGCACAGTGCTGTTGTATATTTTCTTAATCTCGTCGTCGATCTCCATTGTTTGAAGATATTTGGGTCGTCGAATTGTGGGCTCGAACCTGTAGCCCAAAAGTATATGTGATAGGATTCATGGTGGCCTTCCTTCATGCCCGTATTCGATATGAAGCCCACCTACGATGATCTCTTGATCGAAGGAATTGATGTCTTTTTTGTCCATGAAGTTTCAACGGGGACATTTTTAGTCCCTTAAATTTCAAATGGTCACTGACCACTTAGTCCCGGAGTTAGCCTAATGAAATCGTGACATGGTTTCATCATCCCTCCTCTCTCACCTTTCCCCATTGTTGTTGTTCGCTGATCGTCGATGCTAAACGCCACTCCGTCGTCATGGTCTGTTGATGCCGGCGGTAGCGATGTTCTAGAATCTGTGGTTCTCAAATCTCAAACAACAGTCCTATGTTCCCACAGATTCAGGAACAAAACCCACACTTGATTCACAGATGTGCAGGAACAAAATCCCAGATATAAAAAATGCATTAAACTTTAGTTGATAGGAATCATGGGATATTGGAACACATGAGGATACTTTGAATAAATGGTGAAGAACACACCTCAGAATGCATAGATAATCTGTAAGTTTTACTAAGCTATTCTCATTTAACCAAATCTCATATCACATCATTCCAATATTTAAGGGAAAGAAGAACAGCAAGTGCAGCAAGCCAACTGAAGAAATCAGAGCAAAATAAAGCAATTTAAGTGGAGAAAAGTTGGAAGCCGCACCTCGAACAGTCTTAATAACTTGTTCCAGAACAATCAGATGCAGAAATGCTGTCCAAAATGAAAAATATCATATCATAGAACATAAACGGGCGGCCTCTAATGCACATTTCGCCAAAACCCCACATCTTCATTGGGATCTTAATGCGTTTTTCCAAATGATCATCCTAAGTTGGTCACTACTTCTCTTCAACTATCTACTGCACAACATCGTTTCTCATACCACCAAATGGTTGTTTACATTCTATAAATAGTCACTGAGTATGCCTCTAGCACTAGAAAACTAATCAACCTAAGTTTTCCAAGCATTTCTGTGATTCTTCACATCTTAGGCTGATCAATGTAGCAATATATATCCATTTCTATGAAGTATCCATCAACAATGGAAGACGTGTGTCTAATCAATCTATGAAGCTATAAAATCAAAGAATACCGGTTGATTCATCCACTGGCGTATCCAAAGTTGAATCTTGTTCACCATTTGATATCGCCATACTTGAAGATCTGCAGCTGAAGTAAAAAACTGCACTCATCATTGAATCAGTAAGGACAACAAATGAATACATAACCACCAAAAGAGGGCCTTCCCATATCCTGGACGACCCATCTCCATAGCTCAGCGTCTTAACCCTATGCTCAAACAAGCCCTCCACAAACACAGTCCCGATTGTAGATACCAGAAATATCAAAAGACCCACTTGAGTCTGACCCCTAATAAGAACACACGATCGAAGCAATGCCCCAGGTCCTGCAATGTCTTCCAACACACAGATAACAATGGATATGTTGCAGATGATAACAGCATTAGCAAAAATAACAGAGAAGATAAGCCCTACGATCACTGCAGCAAATACAATTAGATCAGGCGAAAACGCCAGTGTGTAAAGAGTACAGCAAACGGCACCAAGCAGGACCAAGAACATGGTAAGACAACCAACAATCGCAAGACACGCCGAAGCATACGTGAGGAGAAGACGATTCCATATATTACGAACTATAGCAAAAAACTGGCTCGCTTCGGACCTTTTTTTTGCATATGTACAATCCACCGTATGAACGACGGCCGCTTTTGATACCAAAGAAAGAGTAACGAAAAAAGGAAAGCACATAGCCGAGGCTAGAATCGACTCTGCAAATCTCTGGCATGAATGTTCGATGATAGGTATCAATGGGAGTCCACTGGACTTGGCAATTAATACCAATCGAATAGTGAGCATCTTGACAATCGACTCATCGACTAACACATTGGATAGAAACACAGCGGAAACAGGACAAATGAGCAAAATAGCAATAACCACAAACGCAGTAGAATTAAAGCGAAGAATCCGAACGGTTTCTCTCAAGATCTCCAATGCGCTCATAGAGTGGAACTGATTTTCAGGTTCGATCCGAAAATCAGAGGGTTGTGACGACACAGTAAGCAAACGAAAATCTTGGCATTCTTTACTCGTCGGAGGAGGATCCCGGTGGATTTCGGGAAAATTGACAGAAGAAGACAGTTCCATTTCCAGTTTGCCGTCCTTAAATCCAACACGAGATCCGGGTAGAGCTAAAAGAAGAGAACCCCCATAAAAGCAGGTAGCAGATATGGCAATTCAGAAGGGTCAGATCTGGGGAGGTGAAAAGGGGGATTGCCGCGTCATTGACAGGGAACGATGGGAGCTAGAAGATGCTGTTCGAATAAAGGGAAAAGTAGGGAAGATGAAGTGAAAATGGAGGGAAGGTCCGGTGGAGGAGCAATGGAAGGCGGAAATGGCAAGAATTGAGAAAGAACAGTAGAAGTCTGTGGAAGGAAATCGAAATGGAGAAGGAGATTCGGCGATCCAGACGTCAAATTCCGCGTCCTTTCTTCAATCTGTCATCTCTGTCGCCTCTCTCTTTCAGAGACAGACCTCCTCAGACAAACATCGGCGTCAAACACGATCAGCGATGAATTAATTATAATTAAACCTTTATTAAAATTATTAAAAAATATATTTTTTTAACTAATTTTTAATTTTTTTTTGGAAAGATTAATAATATAACCACAAATGTAAACCTAAGATGACAAAGTGTAATGCCGCCATTTCATCAAATAGGTTATGTATGGGTACAGAATTGACAACGTGACTGGAAAACAATGTAGTGTTGAAGCGCATCATTGAAGATGAATCATAACAAGAATTCATCCGTTGAAACTAACACAAGTTCACAAAAGCAATCCAAGCCAAATCCCGGAGTTTCGAACAATAAACTAATAAATTCGACTGTCGAGATCGGCATCAGCTAACTCAGTTTTCTATTTTCATCTTCTGTGATGTCTTGATTCTCTGATTGCAGAGCCAAGACAGTGTTTCACTTTACAGAATAGGTTGTTTGATTGATGCTTGAATTCCTTGGATGGAGAATGAAAGAATTACTAGCTTTGCACCGGGACGATATTGGGATGAACCTGTTCGGAAAGCTCATAATGGGGTATGTTTTTGGTTAATCTGGTTAGAAGATGATGCTTGCAGTTGGGCAAGCCTCTCTTCGTGATCTGAACCATATAAGATGTTGTTCCAGGTTGTCGGTCGTTGAACAATCCTCGAAGGAACACGATCGCTGTCCTCCCCACCTGAAGCTTCATATCCATCACTTGTTGACCTTGACAGTGGAAGTCCCTTTAGAGCAGCAGCTGCATTAGCTGCGGATAAACCCGTGAGTCTCTTAGACTCTTCAGCTCCGGAGGAGGATATTCGAAATGGATGGATGTCGGGCGAGTCCAAACTGCTCTCTGGAGAAGAGGCGACCATGGTGGAGCTCGACATTGCTCTACTTGTTTGGAAAGCACTGCGTGCTTCAAGCTGAAGAGGACCAAGGCTGGTTGATGTGCCAGAGAAACCTTTTTCAACAGCTTTTGCTGGAATATTCGTCACGCGTTGCATAGGTAGATCAGCTGGAAGACGCACTCGTTTATTCCCTCGCCTTCTATTATTTTCAGGTCGTGAAACCATTCGATGACTACTACTGCCAAAACCGCTATCTGTTTCTCGTTCAAAAGGAGTTGCTGATCTAACCACAGGCTGCAGAATTTTGGACTTCTTCCTTGCTTCTGCAGCAGCCTTTGAAACCTCATCAGCATTTAGTCTTGCAAGAGTCCATGGGCTGATCCTTACAGCGGCGGGGTTCTTTTTCTTTGTTATTTCTTCACTAACCGTCCTCTTTCCTAGAGAACTAACAGACCCCGTCTCTGGTGGAATCACATCAAACTGAAAGGAAAAACAAAAACAGGTACTCACCCAACGGCAAATGCAGATTGATTTTCAATATTTATAACTAGTTTGAACAAGCTTCAGAAGATCGACTTGGTTTTACCTGATCTTCAAGAAACAAGCGTGGCGGAGTGCACCATGCACCTCGGTGGAGAGTAGAGAACGAGCTCGCACTGCTTAGTCCAGTTAATGAGCTGACAACAGACATTTGAGGACTTTGCTGGCCACCAACTCCCTGTTGCTCTTGCTCCTGCTCCCTTAGAGCTATGATATAATCATATGTTGTAATTCCCTGTTTCAGATGTAAATGCAGACAATTCAGTAACCTACCAGCTCAAGCCTACCGCTAGAAAATATTGTCTCTCAAGGTTTTAAAACGCGTCTGCTAAGGAGAGGTTTTCACACCCTTATAAGGAATGCTTCGTTCTCCTCTCCAACCGATGTAGGATCTTACAATCCACTATCCTTGGGAACCCAAAGTCCTCACTGGCACACCGCCCAATACCTCACTTTGATACCATTTGTAACAACCCATGCTCTCCGCTAGCAGATATTATCATCTTTGGACTTTCCCTTCTGCCTTCCCATCAAAGATTTAAAACGCGTCTGCTAGGGAGAGGTTTTCACACTCTTACAAGGAATGCTTCGTTCTCCTCTCTAACCGATGTGGGATCTCACGATAAAAAACGACAATAAAAGCAGAGAAAAGAGAACATGCAGTTGCTGTACTTGCCTTCTTTATGAGAAGGATGTGAAAAAAGAAGAGTTGAGCAAGTGGCAGTGTTGCTATCATAGCCAAGATCGTACAAACCGCCTGAAAATGGAAGTTATAGTGAGCAGTTCAGAATGGATGATGATGTTATTTATGTTTCTTGTAGGGAAAAAACAATTCAAACTGCTCAACATTTCAACTTAATTTAGCGAACCAATCATGCTTCAAAAAGTCGAGCAATGGTCAGGATCACTTACCACTACGACAATGAAGGGTGCCAAAGAAAAACTGCTACCCAACTTCGAGGAGATCTCCACAGAGAAACGTTTTTTCTCGACCACACAGCAGATCAAAACAAGGATTCCACTCGACCATTGTACAATAAGCTGCAATCTCAACCTGTCAATAACTAATTAAAATAAAACTGACATGAAAAGTAATCTACTCTGGTGGGATGGTCTTGAGGTGTTGTCATGTTGCAAGGAGAGATTAGGGTCGTACCATAAAGGGTAGTAGGTGTGTGTTGAAATTAAGAAAATGTGAGATCCCACATCGATTGGAGAGGGGAACAAGTGTCAGCAAAGACGTTGGACACGAAGGGGGGAGGATTGTGAGATCTCACATCGATTGGAGAGGAGAACGAAACATTCTTTACAAGGGTGTGAAAACCTCTCCCTAGTAGACGCATTTCAAAAACTTTGAGGGAAAGTCCGAAAGGGAAAATCCAAAGAGGACAATATCTGCTAGCGGTGGGATTGGGCCGTTTGTTTGGTAAAAGATGTTAGCAACCTAAGGGCAGCTATCCTAAAAAGAAACTCATATATCTATGGTTAAGGGAAATAGCTTTTCCACAGCTCAGCATATTTAAAAAAATTATCTGCCATCCAATTGTTACACTCTGAGAAGTAAGCAATGCTTCGGAATTGTACAAGAACAGAGAGAAGGCTCGAACTTACCAGGAGGAGAGAGGTAACCATGAGGGTGAAAAATTGCCGATAGTTCTTCCGACCAATACAGTTGTTAAGCCACTGCAGAACCACAAAGTACAAAAGTTGTAAGAAAACGATCCGTGTAGCTGCTGGACTGAGGAAGGGAATGAGATGAAAGTTCAAACATTTTGTATACCCGGCAATGGTGATCAAAACGATCGACACATTTATCGCAAACTCGACAGTGCTTGCTGTACTTGAAAACCTGAACCAGAATATTGCTCAGATTAGTTAAACATAGAGAAAGATCCTGAGTTGAGTTTTTCTTATTCCAAATTATGTTTTGGTAAGCGTTCGTTAGAAGTTTTTTCGGTTTGGTCTCCTATAACCGACTAGTTTACTGAAACTACGAGCTCTTCAAAAGTTCAATCACCTCCACTTTACACAAACTGCAGTAAAACATGCCATCTTCACTCATGTGTTGCTCGGAAGATTCCTCTTTTGAACTCGAACAATTGCACACATATGCACAAGGGAAGCACGCCAACGAAAGACAGGACAACTTTGATGCTGGACTATCATTCTCTTTCTGCAGTAGGTCCTTAGAATTTGCATCTACACCACCAGTAGTATCTTTACCGACAGATTTTTCTTCCATAGAGACGGCATTGGGATCACGTGTGGATATCACCGATTCCTCACCGAGTTTAGAACTTTTATGTTGAGAACACTTTCCTTCATCCGGAATATCGACATACTTTTTTGATTTAAACACTCCCGAGTCTGCAGGGTCAGCTGCCGCACACCAGATATATAGGCCGAACACACACGTAATCTATAAGCAAAAGAGATGTCCTGAGCTTTTACGAACGAAGGAAACGAAAAACCAAGTTCCACAAAAAGATATCAATGATAAAGAACAGGCAGAATGAAGTGGCTTGCACATTTCATTTTCCAGATCTTGGAATTGAAATCAGCAAAGCTAGTAAAGAGCACAAGCTTGTATTTCGTCTCTGAATGCTCAAAACATCAAATATGATACACTTCATGGGGAAAGTATTCGAGTTCTAGAACTCTTTCCATCCACCACAGATATCCACAGACCCAAATTTCATACCCATCAGAAGAACTTCTATCAGTTACATACACCAACCTCATCTTATACATATAAATTGGTAATTGATAGAACACATGGGGTTCCAACACTACAATAAACAGGATTTGGAACCATCCCATTCTTCCAAGATAGCCCAAAAGCCATGAAGTTCAGGTTCATTTTGTTGGGTTGAAATATTGAAACTCCCTATCAGGCAACATTAGCTTCAAAGTTCATAAAGAGGCTAAACGAAGGGAACAAGGCGGAGCTAGATCATATGGGACTGAATGAGGGAGATCGAGAAATAAAAGAGATCTTACAAGTGGGGAAAGATCAAAATCGCAGAACCAAAAGATTAAATCAGAGACGCAAACGCAGACAGGATAGATCTCAGCCCCATCCGAACCATATTACAGAAGAGCAAAAAGAACATTGCATATAAAAGGATAATGGGGAGAGAGCTTACAAGAGGAGTATATAGGCCAATCATGACATACTGAAAAACCTTCGTCCCAACAAAGGGAGCAAAGAAGACATAGAAAGCAAACCCCAGAGCCAGAAATACAGCAACCGCAACCACCTTCAAGAAGAAAAAGAGAATCAAACTCAAATTCGGTGGAAATGTATGTATGATGAACGAAAAGAGAAAAGGGGAGGAAATACAAACCTGGAGAGGATGATATGGAAGTTGCCATCCGTGCTTCCTCATTGGGCACACCCAGAAGAATACAAACAATAATCAAAATGGCGAAAGTGAAGAAAGCAAGATAACAACAAGGAAACGAGATGGGGTTTCCTCCTTGAGCCTGAAATTCTGATAATTAACTCCCCCTTTTCTCCATTTCCCACAGAAACTACAAGATTTGCCACTGAAGTTTAGTCGTATTTGGGATTCAAATCAAAAGAAAAACAAAGAAGAGAAAGGGAAAGATAAGAGTATAGCTGAAAAGAGAATGTGAGCATTAAAAGAGTAGACAGCAAGGATGATTTGTCTGGCTTGACCGATTTGTTGTTTGGCTTGGCTCTGCAGCCATGGAGGCGAAAGGAGAAAGAACAGAAAGAGGGCCTGGCCTGGCCTGGCTCTGGGTTCTCTTGGGGTGCTTGCAAAAGCTTCCGTGAAGGAATCTGTGAACCCGTGAAGGGGAGGAGAGAGGAGAATCGAAAACTAAAAAGGATAGAAGCAGGGCTGGGTTTTGCTTTTGAACCCTATAATTACATCGCAACCTCCCTTTTACTTTAATCTTTCTTGTTTCTAGCGTTACCCTTTTTCCCTGGGCAAATCATGTGTTCCAGAGGATACACCACTGCCATTTTCATATCTCTCGCTTTCTAAATCCCACTTCCCTTCTTTAAAAGAACCCTTCAATACAATTTTCAACGCTCATTGCCTCTGGGTTCTTCTTCGACCAACAAAACAAACAAGTAGACTAAAGAAATTGGACCCCCTCACGCCTAAAAGCCCAAACACTTGTTAGCTGGTGTTACTTTCACTATTTTGAACGCAAATGAATTAAACCAAACCACTCCACTACTCCATTAAATGTTCTTCTGCTTTTCTTTTTGAATCTGTCCTTTTGTATTGAATTGGTAGTTGGTAACCCAGAAAACGATTAGACACCATCTTTTGTATTCACAATTCCATTCTATTCCTTCATTTTTTTCAAATTATATGCAAAAAAAGGTCAGAAAGTACAGCAAAAACACAGTGAATACTAGTTGATATGCCAAAACTTTAAGCATTTAGATCAAAATTCTGCCTTGGGCTCTTTAATTTTACACTTCCCACGCCATTATTGTAGTGAAATCTCATCTGGGTGATGAAATTCCAAGAACAGTACTTGATAAACAAGTGAGCTTAACGAACAAAACTTGAACTTGAATGAATCCCAATGAGAGAGAATGACATTACATTAAAGGAAACGTGAGATGTGGGTCAGTAACTCTCTGGATTGTGTGTAGTTTAGTGCCTAATTTTAGTCATTTTTTCTTTTGGAAGGAAAAAAAAAAAAAAGGTAAGGTTTTGGAAATGAACTTGGCATTTTGTTGTCAGTCATTGGGCTCCATGTAATAAAAAAAAAAAAAAAAATTAAATGCATTTATTCTATAAAAGAATTCGATTTTCAAATTAGAATGATATTGTATTACGAGGGGGTGTTCGTTCGTGGATTGAATTAGATCCGGTTGGAACGTTTTTTTAAATCCATTAGACACAAATAAATAAGCCCATAACCCAACTATAAAATGTGGTTCGACTTAGGTTTAGTTGATAAGGGTTTTCGAGTCTGTAGGTCTTTTGAACACTCATAAGTTTCAATTTTAACCCAAGTCAGCTCCATATCATGAAACGTGAAGAATAATATTAAACTTTTAATATGAATATTATTCAAATAACCATTTTTGACAATCTAGGTCAAATCCCTTGGCATCAACGGTTCATTGTCTCAAAATCCACTCCAACGGACAAGATGAAGGGGTACACAGACCATCATAGAGGCTCACCGCAGACAACCAGTACTCTGAACGTAAATTAAAAAAAATATAAAAACGCAGCGTTTCTGGCAGGGTAGCTCAACTGCATTAAATTCTTTTTGGAGGACTCACTGTCGCTCCTCGATAGGGTTTTTAGTATATATGCACTTTACCAGCGCGAATTCCTAGCCCAATAGATTTGCAAATCGCGTTGACCCGAGGAATTCTCTCAACCCTCGATTTTGATTCACCGACCTTCTTGATCTTGATTCGTCGTCTCATCCAACCGTCATGAATCGTCTTCATCGCCTACCAAAGTTGTGTACTGCCATACTGGATCGAATTTATTTTTTATTTTTTATTTTTTGTTCCCCGCCACCTTCTGTTTAAATACATGTGTGGAAGTCGTTTATATCTAAAAATTTATATATTTTTTTAATGGTAATTACAATTAAAATTTGTAATTTCAATTAGCCACGGCTCCAACATCCCGAGTTACATGTTCATTTACTTTTCACTCGAAAACTATTCCTCATAAACCAACACGGAAAATCTTGGAAGATCACCCAATATATAATTATTCTAAGTAATTGACGTTTAATTTTGGAATCTTGAGCTATTGAAAATAAATGTAGCCCAGAGAAATTATTAAAAAGAAAAACAAAGGGTTGTAATTTATTTATTTATTTTGGGCTTTATCCTAATAACTCATAAATTGAATGGCAAAACTGTGAAATTTGTAAAAGACATGGCCTTTTTCTTGTGATTTCAGTCCAAAATTTGCAGAAAGATTTGGATTTTGAAGACCCAGTCCTCAAGGACTTGTTTGGTGGATATTGTTCAATTAGTTTTAAAAAATGTAAATAATAATAATAATTTGTTTTAAAAAATGTGTTTCATGTGTTAAATTTGTATGTAAAAATTTATCCAAGATAAAAGCATATAAAATGAGTTTGGAATAGAAATGCGACACTAGACAACATGTCCTAAACAAGTATGACAAGACATTCAACATGTGGTTATAGACAACATGCCTTGAACAAGTACGATCGTGACACTAAACAGACATTTTAAAACTTTAGCGTATAAAATAAAATAAACTTAAAAATCAAAACTCGAGATTTTTTATTAAGACAAGCTCTGAATCCTTGTTTATTTAAGGAAGGGATGCAACAAGTTTCGAATGTGTGTGTGTGTGGTGTTAAGGCCTAAGGGGATGGTGGGGACAAGGCAAAATTAAAGGTTTTAGGGACACATTTTCACCCTTATAAATGATGAAACTAAAAAGAGGAAATGGGTTGGTGTATTTCATTATGTAACTTATGGACAAGCATGTGATGCCTTCATTACATCTAATGGGACCCCAACTATGCCTCACTTCTCATCCCCTTCTTCTTTTGCCTTCCCTTTCCATTTCTCACTAAGTCCCAATCATGGAATCTTCTCCTCTCACACATATAAGTAGCTCACGAGTAACGAAAATGAAACATTTAGAAAGTCGCTTCGAACAGCCTGCTGGAATTACGGATGGAACCCAACAGTAAAACAAGACTTGCTGACGAAAACATTTAGAAAGTCATTCCGAACACATCTTCTAGCCACAAAATCTAGCTCAATAGATCAAACTGACTCTTCTCCCCACATTTATAAACCAACATTTAACAACTTACAGGTATTCAGCGACTTTCACAATCGACACGTGGACCATACCACATTTGGGTTGAATGTTCACTAACAACTCGATCACATTACAACACATTCATGTCACTTGAACCAGGCAGTCAGGCAAATAACAGAAAATTTTCAAGACCCACGAAACAGCTCGACCCATAAACGAAATAGTATGGAACGGATCACAATCATAAATAAATAATATATAGATTCATTTACAAAAGAATGCAAACAATATGTTTCTTTCAGGTACTTGCATACAATAACCATTACAAACTAATTCCTCTTCATGTATCATTTCCTTTTAACTGTATATGAAGGAGTGGGCAAAATGGTATTGATTTATGAAGTATGGCTTTGGAAGTGGGAAATATAAAACAAGCAGAGAGTATCTGGCAGACAAGTATGATCTTTTTTGCTCATAACTAGAGCAACCTACGTTATTTGTTCTTCTTTTAACCGTAGAACTCCAGCATGCTGATGACGGGAGTTCCCATGATCATTGTTCTTATTTGAAATATTATGTGATTTTAGCTGTGGAACGTTACTGTTGACTGACCTGTGGCTGCTGATTTTACCAGCTGGAACGTCATGATTGTGTTTACCCTCATACGTCGTTATGACAGCTTTCGGGTCCGTTGAAGCTCTCTCTACATGTTTACGAACATTGCATCCTGGCGTCGTGCATTTATAGTAGCTCCTGCAATGAAGATCGTTTGATGAATGTTAAAAAAATGACAATCCCAAAGATAGTGTCAACAACATCTCGCGCAAACATAGACCAGTCTTGACATTTCAAATTACAACCAAGAATGTAACCGCTCAAGCCCACCGCTAGTAGATATTGTCCTCATTAGACATTTCCTTTCGAGCTTCCCCTCAAAGTTTTTAAAATGTGTGTGCTAGGGAGAGGTTTCTACGCCCTTATAAAGAATGCTCCATTCTCCTCCCAACCAATGTGGACCTCACAATCCACCGCTCTTTCGAGGCCCAGCATCCTCGTTGGCACTCGTTCCCTTCTCCAATCGATGTGACACCCCCCTTCAAGGCCCAGCGTCCTTGCTGGCACACTGCCTCGTGTCCACCCCCTTCGGGGCTCAACCTCCTCATTGGCACATTGTCCGGTATTTGTCTCTGATACCATTTGTAACGGTTCAAGCCCACCACTAGCAGATATTATCCTCCTTGGACTTTCCCTCAAGGTTTTTAAAACGCGTCTGAGAGGTTTTCACACCCTTCTAAAGAATGTTTCGTTCTCCTCCCTAACCGATATGGGATCTCACAAAGGAAGATGTTAGTTTTGAATTGTGTGAATTTTTAAGACCACTTTGTTTGTTGATATAATGGCAATCTACGTTTCTATAACTCGAACTACTGAAACTTAATGAGATAAAAAGCACGCTCACGACTCACCTGGGGTAAGGGTTGCCTTTGACAATTTTCTGCCCATACTTTCTCCACCTGTAGCCATCATCCAATAGATCAACTTCGCTTGTAGTCTGCACAATGATTCTGGATTCTGCAAGAGTCCTATGAGAAGATGCTGGCTCAGGAAGCCTTACCTCAGTATTCCTGCATAATAGAGGTAGAACATTGCTCATATCAATCAAAAAACAAGCAGCAGCTATATACTTGTAAGTTGAAAAGGCATATTCTTCTGCATAATAACGCTTACCGTCTCTTGGCATCAGGCTCGTCGTCATCTTTTCGATTCAGTCCAGTCTCTATCTCACTCCCTCCCTCACCATCACTAGTACCTGACAACTGTTCATGCGTAACATGACTCGATTCTTGATCATTCTTTATGGAAGACACATCTTTCAGCTCGTTCAATTTACTCTGAACTTGAGAACACATCTCAGGATTTGAATATCCATTAGAATTTCCGACATCCTTTCCCCCCTTGTTCGGTTGAGGTTGTTTGTGGTTGTGCTCGCCCTTGTAGATAATCTCAGTGACTTGTCCTTCAAGAGATCGTTCAACCTTTTTCCTAACAGGACAATTCGGGTGCGTGCACTTATAGTAGCTTCGAGGAAATTCACCGCCCTTCACTTGTTTCTGTCCATATTTTCTCCAATTGTAGCCATCATCAGCAGGTCTACCAACAGTACACAAAGAAGATTGCACTCTCTGCTCTGATTGAGAGATATCCAGTACCTCTTTGGATGCAAGTCCAGCATTCGGGAATGACGGTTGCATCGGCTGATCTTTAATCTTCTCGCCCAGAAAGGTCGTCGAAAGCTGTAAGGACGACGCATAGGGTGCTACTGATGGAGACAAAGATGCTGCTTGTATTTGCTTATGAGAACAGGCTTCTGCAGCCTGCATAGTAACCTGAGCCAAAGCCTGCTGATGGGTCATTCCAAAAGGCCCCTATAACAAGCCATGCCAAAACAAAGTGAGCCAACATTCACAAAGTCTACAAAGAACGGCATAACAGGCCAATGTTCATCTTTATTTCTTCTAAGACAATTCAAAACATAAAAGTTTCGAAGGGATTATAGTTCAAACTGCAAATGAAACGGGATCAAATGATCAAGCATGTAACATGATAACAAAGATTCGAGAATCTTAAGGTCACTAGTTTGAACAAATATTCAAGCCACTCAACCAAATGAACTAATCAGTCGTCTTCATTAATACAACCATTTTGCTTCTTCTTCCACTATGAACAAGCATGAAACAAAAACTGAATTACGTGTTTAACATGCAAAATCAATTGTCCTAAAAAAGCCATTCAAGAACAGTAAAGAGAACATGATCCGGATTTTTCTCATAATTGTCCAACAGCTATAAAAGTAGTCTGTCATAACAGAAAATTTTAAGCAATTACTTGACTAGGCGAAAGAAGCCCAGGAGAATCGAGCAGACCGGGAGGGCCTTTGAACTCAGACTCCAGCGGAGGAACAGCCACCGGCGATGTCATGGCTCCGGCGAGGAGCTGAGAAAAAGACTTGCAGTCATCGGGATCGGAGAAGAAGCTCGAGACGAGGGTCATCGGCCCTGGGCTAAACCCAAATCCCAAACCCGGGCCACCGCTGAAGAGAGACTCCATGGAGGTCCGTGGCGGCAGATTAATAGTGGGCCTCAAGGGACGGGGCTTAAGTTTGGACGGCGGTTGCGGCGAGGACGGTGGCAGTTCTTCTTCATCGTCACCCATAAATGAAAAAATGAAAGTGAAAGTAATCAATCAAAGTGGGGCGTTTCTGGAATATACCAAAAGTTCGAGTTCCTGGGATTGTTCTCGGGATCTGAAATTGAGCTGAAAGAAAAAAGTCCACGCCCCGAATAAAGAAAAGGGTAATTAGACTAAAATCCAAACAACAATTTTTGTAATCCTCTTTCTGTTTTCCTTCTTCAATATAATCTTATTAGGCCTCCACACCAACCCCATGAATATCACAAAATTAACCTCAAAATTCACAAAATTACCCACAACAACAGATTTTTTTATGTTCAATGTTGTGAATTCATGAACTTAAAATTTGACTAAATAAAAAGATTATTTTAATTTTTAAAGATTTAATGTTCTATTTGAGGCTATCGAATTAGCTTCTTTGTTTTTCAGTTATTATCCAAACATTTAAATACCTTAAAAATCAAAAAAATTAAAATAAAATTTTCCAAATTCAAATACATGGTTTTTTTTAATTATAAGAAAAAGAAAACAACTATTAAAATATCAACCGGCTGATTCTGTAGTTTCAATGGGAAGAGAGGGGCAAAAACGGAAAAGAGAAGGAAAAATACATCTAGGCGTTGGCACAAATTGAAAGGATAGGGCATAGGATGGTGAAGTCCAGTTGATGTTCCTTTGATTTTGAAAGAAGAGGTTAAGGTCGTCGGAGGGACCCACAGGGATAGAAAAATAAAAATGCAACTAAATGACAAGTCATTATCATATTTCTTTAACCATTTTAATATTTTATATATAAATAAATAAATATGCAATTCAAAACGTAATTGAGACTCCACATGGAGCTACCCCGAATAAGAAGCCCTATTTCAAGCATGGAGGAAGGAGCAAAGAACATATTTTCCCTCCTAGATAAATGGGGCCTATGGTCTCCTCCCCACTTAATATAAATATATTTTTCAAACTAAATGAAAAATTTTGCAAAGATGGAATGAGGAAGGCTTCCTCGTCCCCACCCTGCCCCATGGACGGGAGGGCCCTCTTTATTTTATCACTATACATGCCTACTAACAAACAGTGTCAGTATACAGCAGCAAGTATGAAACATGGGTAGCTATAAATAAATGAACGCTCCAAGAAAAACATATAAAGCCAAGATTCATAAGAAAGAAAGTTGCACAATATGATAAGCAATAGAAATATATAACTAAGAAAGAAATCCCCATCGGTAAATAAATATTAGAATGATTCTATCCTACGACTCTTAAGCAACCATGGCACCTATGAAGTTTACATAATTTGATGACGGACGACTAGCCAAGAAACAACTCTTAATTCAAACAGCAATAGGCAAGACAAAAATAAATCTTAATTGTAGAGACTCCAGAGTAAAAGAAACAACTAATCGAGGAGCAGCATCGAACCAAGCTTTCTCAAAACATGTCAAACGACTGCGGATTACGATCTGGATATCGTTCTAACATCTTTTTGCGTTTGTTTTCCCAGAGGAAACTATTTTGGGCCGATGTCCTTGAGAGCGCAGATTTGCTCCTCTCCCATTGAAGACATGACAGTCACAATCAGATCCTTCCCCTCAGCAAATCCATCCTTGATCTGTATGTAGCACATGGAACAAGACGACCAATCTTAAGAACTAATGCCACTCATAGCTCGCATAGAACAGAAAGCAGTCAAAAATATGGAAGTAATATCATCTAAAGCTATTGATCTCACAATAAGAATCCACCTCGCAAGAAAGGAAGTCACTTCTAGATCAACATATCAATATTTATCAACCAAGATTTACCCTTTATAGAAAAGCTATAGAATTTATAATCTTGGTTTGGAATCATGGGATCCTTTTCTATCTACTAATACTAAATGGTTGTTAGTTAATCATACAAAAACTAAACTTCTGCATTTGAAAACGTTTTAGCATTTAACATTTTTTTTAAAAAAAACACAGCTATTTCAACCCTTCTTCAAGGGTACACCCTCCTTAAATAAACCACATGTCCACATTTAGCAAGAAACTCAAAACCTATCTCAAGCCTATATTAGTGAACAGAAAGCCATATACACTCGTAACTCCTAATCCCAGAGTAATGAAGTCCCATAAAAAAAAGGACCGGCTAATAAACGTGAAGGAATGAAGAAATAGTCGCAATGGGGTCTACCAAGCCATCAAGGCCAATGGAACACAATACAGGAAACTGTCGACAGCCAATAAGAAAATATTACCTGGGTCATCAGACTCTCATCGTTTGGAAGCCTCAGGTCATCCTTGGTGTTACCACTGTCCGTCAGCAGGCTAATCTGATAAGTTTACATTGAAATTAGGGTTGTTAGCCACGGTGCTCTACATGAACAACCGGGGGAAATCGATATAAGAACTAAACAAACAGAATTTAATCATACAAATCCATCCTCAGAGATATCAATGAGCTGATAGTCAGTGCGACTGACATGGGGAACCTGTGTTTAAAAAATACAAAACTCAATAATAACAAAAAAAACTTGCTCAAAAAAATTTACAAACTGCTAAGAAAAGTATAAAATGGAAAAGGAAAAGAAAAATCTTCATACATCACAGTTGTGAGAAGAAGGAACGATATCTTCAAGCTTTTTAGAGGTGAAAATGTCAATGGCAACAAAGTGACATTTAGCATGTCCGTGCTTTCCAGTCTTAGAGGTTGAAACTTCAACAACCTACAACCGATAATGCATGTGCCTTAGGTCAAGATTTGTTAAAAGGAAAACAAATACAATATTATGCTGAAACCACCAAAGGTGAAAACCCTAAAAGAAAGACTGACATATGATATCTCCATACAATTCATTACTTCCATTTAAGCTTACGAGGTTGGCCATCAATTCAATTTCATCCAAAATAAATTTGACTTACAAACTAAAATAGATGGACGACAGCATCTAGGAGTAAAATCAGAAGAGAAAAATAAATAAGTACATAAAGAAAGGATAGAACAGCGGAGATCAGCCCCAAAAATCAAAGAAACACAATCAACCGAAACCACAGAAGAAGATGGGATAAAAGGAAAGCCGTTGATGAAGTTACATGAAAAATTGAAGCAGAGGATTGAGCGCATAACTATCAATCATGTTAAACAAGAATTATATAGATAAATGGGGCGAAGGATGAGAGATAATTGAGGAAACAGAACGAAAACGATAAGAACCTTGCAAGGCCTGCCCTTGATGACAATGTAACCATTCTTACGGATGGTTCCAGCCTGCTGAGGATAAGTCTTGGAAGCTCCGGCGTCGGCCTTCGACTCGAAGTGGTGCTCCTCGTCAGACATGGCTCTGTAGGGAGACAGAGTGCAAAGAGGAGAGGGTGATGACGGAAAAGTAAAAAGGCTCAGAGACGTGCGACGGAGTGGGTTGAAGAAAGAAGCGAATTTATATATACACGAGAAAAACGAAGAATAGTGGATGGACCCACAAATGGGAGCGAGTATCCTAGGGTTTCAAAAAAAAAAATATATATATATATATATATATATTAATGGTATTATAAATTATAATTTTTTTATTTAATTAATAACTTTTGGAAACAAATACTAAATACTCAATGAGGTAAATCTTATTGCTAAGGAAATAAATCTCAAACATGGATCTGTGGCGCAATGGTAGCGCGTCTGACTCCAGATCAGAAGGTTGCGTGTTCGATTCACGTCAGGTTCAAATCCATTTTATTTTTTTTCCCATTTTGGGCTTGGGCTTAGCTAGGGCTTGATTTACAGGCTGGAACTGGACTGCCTTTTGAAACTGATTTATAACACTTTGCCGGTGGTCATCAACAGAAAAATTAAAATTTCACTTTAATATAGTCATATTTGAAAACAATTTCTTCTTCAGTGGTCTGCTTCCTAAAATTATGATCGTTTTTTTATCAATTTTTTTTGGGTAAACTTCTCACCTTCCATAAAAACACATTTAATTCTAAACCAAATTTGTTTTTAAATTTGACTTCATTTTTTAAATCATTTTTAAAAACAGGCAATAAACTAAAAAAATCAATAGAAAAACGGAGCTTAATTCTTAAAAATAAAAATGGATATCAACTTAAATTGTCCAGATTTCAGTTTTGGACATGAGATTAATCTTTTGTAATTTAATGGCCATGCTCATTTCCGGCACGGATATCCAACACTTCCAAGTTCCACTATAGTTCAAAGATTCCAGCACCACCATCCAAAAAGTAAATGTTCTAATGAGTTGATAATCAGCGTACCTTAATTTAAATCTGCTATAAGCAAACACCGATGGTCAACAAGCGGATAGAGAGAAGCTAGAGTGCAGTCTTGTAAATTAGCAGCTTACCCTGTTGAAAATGAAATAGCTATGGTCCGAAGAACAGCAAATACTCTACACAACAAGATCAAACAAATAAAAGTTTTTGCTACTACACTAAGTTTTCATCAATAAAAAATGAGACAATGAAGCAGGACTTAAGAACCTTTTCCTTCTGCAATTAATGAGTCGAAAATGGGACCTGCAGGGCCAGATCTCTCTCCATCATCCTTCAATTCTGTATTTATGGTTGCTCCAACTTCCTCACTGCCTTGATAATCAGCCTTCACCCTTCGCACAGGCACCGTTACAGAGTAAATCGTTCTGAGATCTGAATCAGTAGAGACATTAAATTGAACTTTATCTTCTGAATCTATTTCTACAAAATCCGAAAGAGAACTCAACATGCTGTCCACAATTTTTTGTTTAGTTTCATCATTAACTGCACATCGATCGGACAACAGAATCATCTTTAACCGCTGCTTGGCAATCATAGCATTAGAGTTCGATTTGGATGTTGATGATGGAAAAATTATCCTCCAAGCCAATATTAATCGTTCCAAGAAGTTCATCTTCATGGAACTGAGGATAAAGCTTTCTTGGCTTAAGGATCTTGGTGATCGTTCATAATCTGCTGAGCTCTCAACATCTTGCTCGGAGATACTATGTATGCGATCATTTTCATGTGCCATGGTGCGCCATTTTGGCTTGATTCCTTTATTTCCAGATCTTCTATGAACAAAACCAGAGAGGTCAACCTGCAGTACAATAAATTAATCTCAAACTAAGGAAAGCCTCGATTCCTTTATTTCTCCGTACCAATCACTATACAGAAGATTCAGTAAAATCTGAACAAACGTCTCGATTGTCTCCAGAACTAAAACTGAAATAAAAGAAAGGTTTAAAAAATCTTCGTAGATAGGCCATCTAAGTTTATGTATGCTTACGATTCGGCCAAAAAACATCCATAAATAACGCGTCGGACCATCTACTTTTTGAGTGACATGAAAAATTTTATAGGTACTCCAACGACGCAACTTGGGAGAAACCAAACCAGTGTTAGTATATGTCTTGCAACTATCAAGAAACACAGTCTAAGCCATCTCAACTATTGAAATTCAAACACGACTCGGTGCAATTACTTGACCAAGACAACTATTAATAACAGGAAAACCTGGAAAAATGTCCAAGCGGCATCAAGAGTAGAGTTCAAAATCAAGTCCAAAGGCAGAAATAAATTAATAAAGACCTGAAGAAGCAACTAAACAACTAGTATTTGAACACTGCCGTCAGAAATGAAAAAAGGATCCACAAACTGCGATCCCGAAATGATATAGCCGAAAGGTTCCGATCAAAACAAAAAGGTCGAATGGCAAATCACAGAATCAGATTCCAGAAAGTAAGAACTTGAAAACTATAGACATGTTCGATATCATTTAATATGCAAATTTCAAAAGGCTAACGACTAATCTAGTTCCTTCTTACAAACATCAAAGTCTATTCCATGCATTTATTGGTGAAATTGAGATGCATTTGACGAATGCCAACAAACTCGGATGAAATTGAAGATAAGAAAGCTTAGTATTAGAGAAACAAAGCTAAGAGAATTGAGTTTCAAACCTTAAGAGGATGAAGGGAGATCGGAGAATGCCGCGGATAACAAGAACCTACTGTTGCAAAAGCCCTTGGATATCCAGGCATCGCCATTTTCGAGTTCTTTTCCCTGTTTCGTTCTCCCGCGCTTTCACTCTCTTTACCCGAGACAACTACTGACTAGGGACCATTATCAGGTTCTAGCGCTGAGCAACGGTCGTACAGAGGCCTGAAACGACGACGTTAAAAGTCGGGTTCCAATGTCCAGATAAACGACGTCGTTTACTCGGATGACGTGTAATTACTTTTTTTCTGTTTTAGTTTCCAAAATAAATAAAGAAAATAAAACATTAGTTCGAGCCAATTTAGTAACACTGTCATTTCCCATTTTCTGTTTGTCTTTTTTCTCCTCTCCCATTCTTAAAATTAATTTAATTTTACGAAAAATAGAAGAAAATCAAAAAAAAAAAAAAAAAAAAAATCAATAAATGCATATTTATTTATCTCTAAAAAAATATTGTAACCCTTAACACTACCAGTCTCTTCATAAGCCATCAGCTCCGCTAGGTAAGCAAGTTGGGAAGCATTACATTTTATGGATCAACTGGTTTGGACACTCCTCATGAAAACAATATCTATAATAGAAGGAGACAAGATTCAAATGCAGCTAATGTAACCCACAGGATTCATTTCCTTGCTATCCTTAATGATGCCTAACAATGTGCCATAGTTTGAATATCAGAATTCTTCTACCCTAACGGCGTCACGGGGCTTTTCGTACGCATCTTTCGGTCTCGACTTCTTCACTCCTGCTGTGAACCAGACCTTATCAGATTTGTAGCCCTCAACCATCACGCTTGTCACTTTCACCCACACTAGGACTTTTGTCTTCATTCCTTCAATGCTTGTTAGCTTCCCTCTCTGAAGAGTTCCTTTCACCCGTGTTGCATATCTGACCACAGAAGAATCCTTGAAGCTTATCTCACAAACGGATGGTAAGTACACAATCAGCCTGGACCTGGATTCATCAAATTCGTAGCTGATTATGTTCTGAGGAAAGAGGCCGGGCGGTAAGTTGTACTCACGGAGTAATTCCGGCAGGCTCTTCAATGGCTTTCCTGTGGGGAGGAAAAAAAAATGTTGAATGCTAAGATGGGTTATGATTTTCTTCAGTATTAAGCTCATGTAAATCTATTAAGACTTAATAGAGGAGATGAGAGGCAGTCATAAAGGGAGTGAGAGATAGTTAGATAGAATATGAACAAATCAGATACGCAGAAAGGACAAAGGCAAATTCTGATCCCTAGCGGTACGAAAAGAGAGGTCATGATGTTGCGCGCCTAGGAGGGCTGTGCGCTTTGGCCCGAACCCAGTGCCACATTAGGTTAGGGAGTTGGGGCGATAATAGCTCCTCCGCAGTAATCTCCCAATATGCTCAAAAAGCGAGAGCCCTGGTTAAACGAAACCGAGGACATACAGCAAGACTTTGCTTGTTAGGATAGGAGGGAGAGAAGCCCCTACTGACACATTCAAAATGAACTCACTCAAAAGGAAATGGAAAAACGAAAGGGGAAATTTCATTCATAGGGAATTTCGGGAGAAGCTGAGAGGCTGAGGTAGGGATTATCCATTTATCCAGCACTTCCCACAGAATGCAACCGGATATAGCAGCAATATGGTTCATCAATCCAGCATTGAATATGCAATTATCCTAATATGAAAGGAGAGGATGTGCAAGAGGTCACCTTTTAGCTTGTTGAAAATCCACTTTGCCTTCTCTTCCACGGTATTTGAGAAAGTCTGCAACAAAAGATAAAATATATGAGATTCTAACCAAGGTCTAAGTTCAATATTCGCCTATACAGAAATGGAGGCGCTCAGGGTTTTAGCTGATGCCAATTGCTACTTAACGCAAGTTTTGAGCATCCAGGTATAATCTGATTTTGCCGTGTTTGCATCAAGCTTCCTGTTCGACATTTAACAATCAACCTCACGTTTGAAAGAAACATTGCAAAAAGAGAAATACATATCAGCATCTCCTTAATAGATCAGTCCATTTTCACTTCCATCATAACCCTATCGGTCAATCCTCTGATTAGTGGAAGAAACCAACGGATCTCGCCTTAATCTCGGTACTAAGCCATATACAAAGAAAAATCAGCACAAAGTCCACCGCTAATGACAATCGAGGCTAGCTTCATTTCTCAAATCGCGAAAATTAAAAAGAAACTCAACACTAAAATAAAAGAAAAACACAGGGAGATGCTCGGCTACACAATACACAAACGAAGGAACAAAATTGACAAACACGAAGCAGAAACTCACTTGGAAATCGTCGGTGATATTAGCGAGTTCCTCCTTGGCTTTCTTTGAAATCCACAAGCTCCCGACCTTTAAGCTGCTCACTCTGGTCAAGGCCTTCTCCATTTTTGCAGCTCGGACCGACCTTCACTCCCTCTAGAGCTCGGCTGGGAGAGAAGAAAATGGGTGAAGTAAGAGAGCCGTAGAAAATGGGAGCCACACCCATATAAATCTGAAGCCACCTCGAGAAGACAAAGGCGCCACTGTCAAATGTGAATAGCAGTGAGTGTGAAATGGAATCGAGAGGGTAATTTGGTAATTTGGCGTGGAGCTAATCTTCAGGCTTTTGAGCGTTTTCACGGCTATGCCATTCGCTATTCTAACGCCAACTTAAATTTTAAAAATATATATATATATATATATATATATATACAATTTTAAATTTTTTATATATATTTTAAAGTTTTAAAATTTATGAATATAAAATTAATTATAAAAATATAAATGAAATAGACACCGACTTTTAAAATTAAAAATAATATATATATATATTTCCAAAACAGTGGCGGGTCGAGAAGACAGAAAAAACAGAAAGGAAATTAAAAGGGAAAAAATTCCACGACTTTTACTGGGAATCGTGAATTGAAAGACGAGGATGATTCGATTGGGTGATTGGACGATGAAGATGATTTGGCACATGGGTCTGTGGGGTCCTCTCTTCATGGTTTACAGCTCAAAACTCTAATTTACAGTAATTTTTAAGCCAACAAAATTACATCTACCAATACGGTAGGTTTTATTATCTTTAACCCCAAAGATTGAAAATTCTCTTTCATTTTAACATCCAATGAATTTAACATCAAAACTGAATTTTTTATTACTTTTTGGAAGGTTGAATTTTTTTTTTTTTTAAATTAAATTATGTTGTTTAATCTACCCATATATAAATTCACTAAATATTAAAAATAAAATAAAATTAACTCATTATCCACGAATATCTAAAATAATCTATAATTAATTATTATAATGTATTATCTAAATATTATATCTCAACTTAATCCAATTCAAAAATTGAATTACAGTCTAATCTAAACTCTATAATATATTTGTTTGATGTTAGAATTTTTTAAAATTTTAATTATTAATATAAAATTATTACATACATGTGTTTTTAAAAAAATAATTAAAAAAATTACTCGACAACCCAACAAAAAAAAAAATAGATGGTTGAATTGAGTTGAATTATGAATTTTATTCGAGTTACTCGAGTCACTAATTCAACCAACCCAAAATTTCAAGTGAGTAAAAGAAATAAAAACTCAATTTAACCCACGTAAAACTCTGGTAGAACTATTACATTAATGAATGTATTAAAAGTGATTAGACTACTTTTATTGCATCAAATGGTAGTAGGTGTTAGACTTCTTCTACCACGCCCATTCTTGACTCATCAAGCTCGGCGTTAATCGAGTCAAAAGCACATGTCCCCTCGTCATGAATTAGAGTATTAACTCTCCTTTGAAAATTGTCCAAACTCAACTTGCTGCTAAAAATTATGTATGCTAAAATACCACATTAGTTTTTTTTTTTTTTTTTTTTTTTAAACTATGGATAAGACCAAATGGATTAAAATTTATGTAAAACCAAAGTCATGGTGAAAAGTTGCAAGGAAAGAATCGGAATAAAAGTATGATTCGAGAAAAAAAAAAAAAAAAAAAAAAAAAAAAAAAAAAAAAAAAAAAAAAAAA